TAATAGTAATAATAATAATAATAATAATAATAATAATAATAATGATAAAACAAATAATAATAATGATACAATAATAATAATCATAATAATAACGAAATAAATAATAATAATAACTATACTATTAACAGTACTCATAAGAACCATAATAAATAACAGTACTATAAGTAATTGTGGCGATAATCATAATAATAGAAATCGAGCAAATCAATTCAAAACGACCCAGTAAGCATCAGACATAACATAGCCCACCAGACATTAAATATGCAAATACAATAACAAATAATATTATAAACAATACAAAAAGCGATAAACAACAATAAAAATAACAAACTTATAATAATAAAAGTAAAAGTAATAAAAGAAACGACTCGAATAGCAGTAATCCAGACAAATATGTACAACGAAACAAGACAAATAATATTCAAAACAAGCACATCCGAGATCAACACACGTAACGACATTCATTTCTATGAGTGGTTAGTTGCTTCTTTTTCTTCGTATTTATCATTATTTTATATATAAATATCATATATACAATAACAATTATAATAATAATAAACATCTCTACATTATACAAAATCATCTATTCCTAGATGCTATTAATACAAATTATACCATGTGCACAACAAGCGCTATAATAATAATAATAATAATAATAATAATAATAATAATATGAGCATCAGTTACTGTATAATAAAAATACTTACAGATAGGCAAATACTTCGGTGACATTCACCAACTCGTGAATCGACTTCATTTCGTTCGCTCTCACCCTCTCTGCTTTCATCAAATTTCACTAATCATATCAGAGTCAGTGCTAAAACCTTAACGATAATAACAATAACAATAATAAGAATGCTAACCATGCTAATAATAAAAGCTGCACACCGGCCGAATCAATCAATCAATCAATCAATCATCAATCAATCAATCAATCAATCAAAATAGTTGGGTGCTGTATAGATTTGGCACTGAATGCGAGACATTCACTTGAGTTATTTATTTGCGTGATCGTTTGCCCGATGGTGTGCTGCGATTCGATGAACTGCTGCCACGTTTCGCGTGCTTTTTGGCACAACTCTGACAGTACCACGGCACATCCACTGGTGGTGCTACCAATAGACCCACACAACTCCTTAAACACTACTTATCACATCTTATCAGTACGCTTATCACCCCCCTCGCATCATCACTATTATCACCCCCTCTTATCACCAGTATTATCGTCGTTTATCACCATTATTATCGATGTTATCACCGTTATTATCGATGTTATCACCGTTATTATCGATGTTATCACCTCTTATCACCGTTATTATCGATTTTATCACCTCTTATTACCGTTATTATAGGTGTTATCACCTCTAATCACCAGTATAACCACAAAACCAACCAATGAAACCAGTTGTCACACGCGTCGCAGCCCACCATGTCCGTCGCGCCATCCACATACGCCACAGAGCACTCGGGACAGATCCACACGTCCTTATCGGGCGAGTCGTCGTTCTCGACAGTAATACACTCTTGAGGCTGTATTCATATGCAGCAGTTATTACTCGCATATCATTCTGTTCGAACCACAACCAATACAATACAATACAATACATACCTTCTCTTTGCGTTTCTTCGCTGACGCTTTCAACTCACTCACGTATTTATCCGATTTGCTGCTCAATGAAGCCGTTTCTGATTCCTTCTCCTTCCTTGGCACACCTCAAACATCACTATTGTCAAATAACTTCATTATAACAATTACAATAAATATTCAAAACAAATAATCACAATAACAATAATAATAATTGGCCTGCTCGCCTAGCCAGCGGGGTGACGGCGTAAATTGAGTCTTAAACAATGTGCAGTGCACGAAAACACTGCGGGCATTGTGGCCAGCAACATTACAAACGTTTCATATGCTGGCCAATCCAGGTAATAATATTAACAATAACAATAATAACCACAATAATAATGGCACTTTTTTACTTTGGGGGGTCGCACGCAAGCACGCCCGCACATGCCACGCCTACTGCGCATGGCCTCAGCCTAAGTGTGACCTCAGCCTCATCCAAGCGTAGCCTCAGCTCGCTCGATGCTACAACAGAGGCTAGCAAACGAGTTCAGGCTTGGGCTTAGGCTGAGACTACGCTTAGGCTGAGGCCATGCGTAGTAGGCGTGGCTTCGGTCCATGTGAAAGCGTCGTTCGTAGTGTGCGAGCGTATGTTTTTATCGTTGTACGCGAGCTTGCTTGCGTGCGACCTCCCAAAGTAAAAAAGTGCCGCAATAATAATAATAACAATAATCACAAAAAAGCACCTGAACTAAGAGACGATGCCTTCGTCACAGATGACGTCGAAATCTTCGCTGTATCTTTATCTGTTTTGCCGTTCTTCTTGCGTTCCTTTTCCAGATCCTTTTCTCGTTGCTTTTGGCGATCGTCTTTCAGCTTCTCTTTGGCTTGTTTATGCTTCTCCTTCTCCTCCCTCTTGACACTCCTCTCGAAACGTTTCACGTCCAGCTCCTTCAGTCGTTCACGTGGTTCCACGTTGTCCGTGACACGTTCACGTTCCCGCTCATGTTCACGCTGTCTCTCGTCTCGGTCACGCTCACGTTCTCGTTCCCTCTCACGTGATACTACTACTACTTCAGATGACCTCTCTGCTGATAGCCTAGCGCCGCTATTCGTGCTGTTATCCTGTTGTGCTTGACTGCTGCTACGCATCTTATGATTTTTCTCCTTTGTTTCCGACGAGTTGTCATCGTTTCTTAAATGCAACCAAAATAAAACTCTTCTCAACCAACCAACCACCTTCAAAACTTCAATCTCAAATCACTTTGCTCATTAATCTCTCAGCAATATTACACAAAACCAACTAAATGCCCACCGAAAGCTAAAAAATAAACATTTGAGAAACAAACAAATTAAATATTCATTAGAACTAATCAAAACTAGTTTCATCTGCTCACATTTCATGTCGTTTCGATTTACTTTGTTGTGACGACGCTATCGAAACAGACGAACTTGCTGGCGCAGTAACAGTGGCAGTGGCAGACGACGACGAGTAGGCGCGTTGCTTCTTTTCGCCACTACTCTTCACTATTGCCTTCAACTGAAACACACGTCACTAAATAATCTATCCCTAACCCGTATCCACAAGCAGCATTTACCTATATCATTCTAAAACTTTTCACTCGGAAGATACTCCCCCTGTCTGAGAGTCCTCATACACAGTTTCAATTCTAGGCATCCGTCCACATGTCCAATTCCAGCGAATAATAACGCAACTGTGGCATGAATAATTGCGATTCCCTTCATTGCGCACCTACTATCCACACCAGGACATATTGCCACAACCGCTGTGGCAACGTGTTCTCCATCCCCCACAAGTGTGGCGACCTGCCCCCTCACCCGTTTCAAATAAATCTAATTCTAAACATACTCGAATCTAATTTACATCTCTCATAAAATGATTCAAATTCAAATACAGCGGGAACTCGTCACTTTACAGTTTAACTTTACACTTACTCATTCCTACGATCACACCAAACAAACAGCGATAAATTCTGTTCACGTTGACTAAGCAAAATCAAAACGCCAATAATGAACACACATCCAAATCCAAATTCACCTCACCACATTCTCCTCAATCACTCAACCAAATTAAGGCACTCTTGCTGATAACGGGCCACCGCACCATCACGCATGCTCTTACGCTTCACACATAATAAGTGCGAGGATATGCTATAGCCTCATTACTGGACTAAGCGTAAATCTAAGCTTAAGCACACTCTTGACTTGACTTCCAATTGCACAGCTACACATCCGGAAAAGTGGTAATCTAAGCACGCACATATAAGCGCTCAATGGCGCCCGTTATCAGCAGAAGTGCCCAAATTACTTCCCAAAATAAACGACAAAATGCACACAAACCTCAGCTTTAGTCACACACGGCGGTCGTTTCGGTTCCTTTCGCTCGTTATCGCTCTTCCTGTTGCTGTTTACATCAATTGTGTTATCATTATTAGTGATGGCCTTTGCATCCACTGATTTCATATTCACATTACTATTAACGCTGTTTTCATTTGCTGATATAATTTGCTGCTGCTGTTGTGAGTTCAGTGTTAATGACTTCGTCGTACCAGGCGATAAGCACGACTGCGAGTCATTACGGCTACTTAAAATTATCATTATTATCACCTTATCACTATTATCATTACTATGATCATAGCACTAACTACCACCATTATCACTATCATAATAAACTATTGCTTGTGGATGAGCCATCCAGCTAGCCATCCATCCCTCCGTGCATCTTCTAATTGTAAACAGACACGAAATCAAGAATGCTAATTACACCAGCACCGTACACATACTGCACACTTTATTGCCTTATTCGTCTCACTCTACACCAACTAATTAAACATCAACTACATAAGCATGTAAACCATCCCAAAATTATCAAATCAAAACCACTCAAATGATCACTTACTCTTGTGACGATGTCACGATCGGTTTCACCTTCAGTTTGATTTGTTCAATAGCATTTGCAGTGCTGTTATTGTTGATATGAGGTGAGGAAATCGGTGAGCTGTTGCTGGACGGTGATGCCTGAACACTGCTTGTGCCTCCACTCCCGCCGATTATTATCTTCAATTTCGGTATCTTGCGCATCGGCTCGCCATCGATCCGTTCTCGCTCTGAAACTAACCAAACGTCAAATCAATTCATCTCCAATTCCCGGCACTTGTTTACTTTGGGGGGGGGGGGGGGGNCGCACGCAAGCACGTTCGCGCATAACAACTGAGGCCACGCCTGCTGCGCATGGCCTCATCCTAAGTAGTAATCTCAGCCTCTTTTGAGCGTAGCCTCAGATCGCTCCATGTTACAACAGGAGCTAGCAAGCGAGCTCAGGCTTAGGCTGAGGCCATGCGCAGTAGGCGTGGCCTCGGTCCGTGTGAAAGTGTCGTTCATAGTGTGTGAGTGTATATGTGCGTTCTTGTACGCGAGCGTGCTCGCGTGCGGACCCCCCAAAGTAAAAAAAGTGCCCAATTCCCTATTAACACTTCAAAAATACCTACAGTTCTGTTAAATTTATCGGCATTTGTTTGCTTTAGGGGGAGCAAGGGGGGTAGAAGGGGGGGGGGGACGGGAAAAGGATCGCACGCGAGCACGCTCGCGCGCATTTGCACACACATATACGCCCCCTCTCCCCACACATTATTATCAACGACATACACTTCTTTCACACAGACTGTGCGTGAACGCGCATGCGCGCGCGTTCGCCCCACCCACAAAATGAACAAGTGCCAAATTTTTATAATTAAAATACTCCTTAATTAACCGTCCCATCACCGTTTCAATAACCCTTTCCAGCAGCTACCCAACCGAAACCCTTCCCCCCTCTTACATTCATCTAACCTAATTTCAGACTTTCCTTATCATTCCGTTAATTTATACAAACCTCCTTTCATATTCTATACTATAATTATTACTATTACGAACTTATAATTACTTCAAAGGATCTAACCTTGATTCTCACCCGTATAGAGACGTTTTTTGGAATGTTTCAGATCATCTTCAGACAACTGCAATCGCGTAGAAGGCGGAGGAGTTCGGTGCGTGTGGCTTCGATGCCGTTCCGAATGGCTGCTGCCTTCATGGGGTGTGTCGCGTTCCTTTCGTTTCTCTTTTCGGTGATGCGTTCGCTCTTTTTCACGATCTTTTTCGCGTTTCTTCTCTTTGTGCCGATGGAAATGAGGCTGCTGCTGTTGGTCATGGTTCGTACCCCCTCCTGCCGCACTCACCATATTCTCTCGTTCATCATATTTATCACGATCACGATCCTTTTCCTACAAATCAACTCTTAAACTCACAAAAATTATATTCCAAAAAATCAAAATTTCGGTAAACGAATGCAAAAATGCCAAGGCAAACTCATTACTCATTACTTTTCGTTTCGAACCGATCATATCAACAAACACATCAACGATGGATTAATATGAAGCAGTAAGATAGGTTGTATGGGTCGGAAAATTTCGCTCGTTATCAATCAAACAATCAATCAATAAATACCAATCAATCGATAAATCAACTAATAAACCAATCAA